ATACTATTACAGAGAGTAGATCACATGAATACGGAGATAGTTTTTTACCATCAAACTTGACAATCTCAGTTTTGCACTCATTACGACTAGTGCTTAAATACTTTTAGCATTTCAAAAGAGCTTAAAGCGAAAACTGAACAATTACACAACATGTTATTTTTTTCGGTCAAAGTTCTGCCTTCTTCTAAACTAAGAGTTCTGTGTATACCTGAAAAAAGTTCTTGAAAGGTTTTTAATACAAGGATTGAAAAATAGGCCGAGAACAATAAAGCTTTATTCTGATAGCCATGGGTGGATAAAATCAAGAGGTAGAAAGTAAACAGAGATCATTTAAAATCAGCGTTCCATAAAACTCCAGAGGTTTCAAATGTATCACATTTCCTTTGTTTGTCTTCGCACTTCTACAAGATTGGTGTCTTAAAGATGTGGAGTAAACAGACTAGGCAAGCTAAGTGCAAGTCATTCCATTTCCCTTCTATCAATGTAAGCTGTGCATTCTTGGAGGATGTTCCTACAAAGAAGCACAGGTTTAGATTCCAACGCAATTCTTGAAATATTTCCGCATTCAGGATACTTGTCCGAAGAAGTGGATGTCTGAAATGGATATTTCTGTCTCAATATGGCAAAAAAAGGAAAATCTTGTAGGCTTGTGACCTAACCGCATATGCGGAATTTTAGGCAAATTTCTTGAACATCTTCGTGAAACCCAATCCACGAGATGCAAGCAATGATTATTTTCATCCAAGGATGATAAAGACAATACACACTTAATTATCATTTGCTGCTCTGGACTTCAAAAACTTAAGATCGTCTCTCAAAGATAATTATTTGTTATTTTTGAACTTACTTTCTAGCTTATTGATCAGCTATTCAGAGATCTAAAGCGAATCGATTTGTCGTATAACAATTTTGTGATGTCGTTGGCACATTGCAGCAATTGGCACCAGTGAAACCTATAACAGCCAGGATGTTTGGAAACCAGTTATCGCTATTGTTATAGTTAGTTGTCGTTATACTAACATCGGATGGAATTTGCGCCTCTCCTTCAGGTGCTGTGAGAAACAGTGCATAATTGCCCTCGGGTTCCTTACGATTCATGCTCAAAACGATATCAATCGCTTCACGACATGTAGTTTCTTCAGCCAGTAACAATGATTTGTAGTTTGACTGGAATATTGTGTATTATACAAAAAAATTGAACTGAGTACCTGTTTCTGGACCTTTTAAGGCTGAGTTGACTACCAACCCTGACTTTTTGAAATGTTAATTATGGCGGCTAACGCTATTTTATTCGAAATGATCACTGGTCGC